TAGGTACTGTAGCTTGATTTTTCAATGCCCAAAAGCGTTTAAGAAAACAAAGCTTTTGGCAGCTCAAAATGATTCATCTTAAAGCAAACCTGCACTTTCTGAGATAAAGAAATCATGCAATGCACTGCGAGCCAATTAGGCTTTATTATATTGCACGGGGCTGTAACTCTTACATGCCATCAGGCAGTGGAAGCTTACAGCAAAGGAGGGCAAAGAGATGATTCTATCAGTTTGGTAATGCTCCTTCATTGTCCAGTCACAGGCTTGAGGCAGGACAATGACCAAGCTGTAGTGCTTAAAGGGTATCTATGGTCAAAAACTAAATGTGTATTTCTATGTTCTTGTGCTGTCACAATAGTTGTATAAGATATGGCAATTCATAGTCATAGTTAATATTCATACAAATGTTAAATGAGAATTGATATAGTTTATTTTCCTTAAGCCATTTGGTATAGTATAGCTAATTATTATATTGACATCTTGTGGTCGTTTTGGGTTATTGCACCATGTTTTTCTGCATTTCCCTCCCCTTGTGTGTAATGTACCGCCCTTCTTCTCCAGTAGTCGTTTTAGTGTCATGGCTACTTGTAACAGGACCACATGCACATGCTAGCCTGGAAACATTATCATACTTGAACTTCAAATGCCATCTATTCATTCATCTGCTATATCATGTTGTCTCGTGTAACCTGCTGCACAGAATAAAGCATTCTGTGGATGAAAAGGTGTTTGGTGAGTTCAGCTATCTGATAAGGATTTGCGCAGTGATTATATCTGCTTATACAGGCCAGACATAGAGGTTCAGCAAGGAATAAATCGCTAATACAAGAATCAAAGTCAGAATAGTTCTATCACACTCATAATAACCATATAGACATATAAGTTTGTAAACGTACTTATTGAAGATGCCCATAGGATGTACTTCCTCAATGCAGTGATAACATGTTATTCAGCCCTGTGAATATGCACGTCCTTGTGTTACAAATCACAGAGCCTGCCTTCTAAAGTACAACTCAACCTCTAAACAATATAACATCATCACTGCTTACTGGAAGCAATGCATCATGAGCTATATCGTTTTGAGAAATTGAGATTGCATCACATAATGTGGTGAAAATGTACTTTGCAAAGAATACCTAATCATAACCAAAGATTTTTTTTTTATTGCTATTACACAGGGGGTTAACGAGGGGGCTATGTGAAAGCAAAGAGGATGTGAGAGGTCCTCTTTATGGAGACATCAGGGGTCTATTAGACCCCTAATGTCACCTATAGACCCCAAAGAAGCTGATGAAGCAGAGATTGTGTTTCATCAGATTCTTCTCTAGCTGCAGCAGCCAGAAAAATAACACACTGAAACCAGTGATCGGAGAGAAGATCAGTTGTTGGAAGTGATCTGATCTCCCGCTGATCGAAGAGAACAGACCCGCCGTGCTGGTCCCGAGCCCACACGGGGAACAGCGGAGCCCAGGGCAGCCAGTGGCGGAGGGGGGGTGCACACTCTCTGGCACCATACAAGCGATAAGGCAGCTCTATAGCCACCAGAACAGTTGTATGTAAACAGCCATCACCGTCTGTAAAAAAATGATACCAAAACCACAGCTGCTGTGATCTTGGTATCATTGTATATAAATGTACGACAGATGTGATGCAGTTAAAAGTAAAGGTTTTTTTTTGCTTGCACATGATTGGATAATGGAAGTCAGCAGAGTTTCACCTCATTCACTAAACTAAGGGAAATGTCCCTTGTAAAGTGAACAGCCTATTTGCCTTTAGTAAATCAACCCCATTGCGTAAGGTATGGTCCCTCGTTTTGACCCCAGAAGTCTCAGTTATGAATAATGAGCTTTCATGTCTCAGAATCCCTAAGTCAGTGATGTCACTAGGAAAGTCTGTCTGCAAGCAAAAGCCAATCCTGTCTGCTGGATCTGCTGACAAGGAAGATGTATGATGAGTCTTTAATGGATAAAGATTTTAAAAGCAAGGATAAGCTAAGGAACAACGTGGTTAATAAGTCCATAAAAGATAAGCACTAACTAAAACTGCTGTTCAAGCAAAGGTGATTTTATCTGCTCAATTAAGATTTATCTGAAGCCAAAAACTTTTTTGGGATGGAGTAGGTAATGGTGTCAGGTTTCTATTGGTGTCTGTGTTCCTGCTGGGAAGATTCGCTGTCTATATTAGCCCAAGTGACCATGGTTAAAAGGACAGAAAGTGATGGGAAAGCCAAATTTTAAGAAGTTGTTTCCAAAAAGTGAGATAATAGAAAATCTTCCGATGGGGATTTGAGTGGCAACTGTCTGAGAAGGTTCCCCCCAAGCTCTGAAAAGATCTCCTCTCACTTCGTGTTGTGTCTCTGGGACAGGAAGTGCAGTCAAATCTCCCAATCATCTCCTACGTTACAGGGGTTTCAACCACTCCCATATCCAAAAGAAGCATACTAAGATATCTTTTAAAGATGCTTTTATTCACTTGGACTCAACTTTGTCAGTTTTTGTGTATATGGTATATCACTAACTAAGGAACATATTGTAAAAAAAAAGACAAAATTAAAAATGCCTTTTTTTAATCAAGAAATTAGGTAATATGTGTGGTTTCATTTCTATTTTGTACTAACCAATGTACAGTTTGAGCGGTATATACTGAACCTTTTACTCCTTATTAAGATTAAAGCTACATGTATGTCAATTGTGAGGGACAAAGAAATGTATTCCCTACATTTTATAATTAAATTTAATATACACTTTAATGTAGTGGTACATGGAATCCTGTGCCCCGCCTCCTGCAGGTGCCATGGTTTTGATTGGTCACTGAGGGGTTTTTCCCATAGCTCTTTTTCTTACTGAATAGAATTGACAGCGCACAGTCAACATGTTGTATCGAACATCATATTCAGCCAAGTATAATAAATCCCATGAACCTGACATGTACACTGTATATATCACAGGAATGTATTTTAGAATGATTGCTTGCACTTAGAGCCATCTGCTCAGCTAAATGAGAAGGATTCTGCCCTGTACAGATATTTTGTGTCTTGCCAGTTCATTTTCGAAGGTCAAGGTCTGCAGAATGTGTGAAAGCTCTGAGCAATCTAGCACATTAGAAGAATTATATCCAATGACCTACTGAAGGAGATCTGAGATTTAAAGGATAAATCCCACTTCATAAATATCCTGGAGGAGAGATATGACTCTTCCAGCTCCTCTAATTAACTCCAGCAGACTGAAGGTACCAATATTCACACGTATTGGATCATTTTAGTGACAACGTGTATGAAACAGAAACACTGTTATTTGTGCCGCCTCCAACATTGTGACCTCGGGACAGATGTTATATAATAAAATTAGGTCATAATATAATCAAAATTTGTACTTTTCTGTTCCTGTAGCGGCTGTTGATTCAGTATTTTGTGCAAAAGTGTTAAAGTACATAGCGCCATGTAGGGAGACCATATATATAAAACAGGGTCATATCTAATAGTTAAAGCCTAACTCAACCCAAACCGTCTTTGTTAGTTTTGGAAGGGTTATAACAACAATCAAGTTTTATTTCTGTTTGTGTTCCCATTGGAGACCTTTTCCCCACCTACAAACAGAGACAGGACGTACAAAGGTTCTAACCCTTTTCCACTCTACTGTATATGAAGTTGATCTTTAAGACACTTAGGGCTATGGCGCTGCTTTAAATAAAAAATTAGTTTAGCTTTAAGACATTCATTCACTTTCTGGTGTATCAATGCAACAATAAAGAGAGTCTTTTCAAGAGGAGCATAGACAGAAAAGAAAATCTTGATTCATTAGTAAAGTGGGGGATGGCTATAGTCTGTGCCAGATTTTTGTTTCTATATTATCATTGCTCGTTTCTATATTGTTTCTATATTCCTTACTTTCTGTTGTGGCTTCAGGACAAGTGAGAGCGCATTTCCTCCTAAATAAGAATACAAATATCAGTTAAACAGAGCTTCTAACCCTTCTCCACTGAGAGAGTCATGGAGGCTGACTTCTCATTCTGCAATTGCTAGTTTACTAACTGTTATGTTGACCATTTGGCTTCAGGACTTAGAGCCACTAACATAGAACAAGTATTCACATACGGACTTTTCACTTTACTCTGACTTTCCTGATCTGCATACTTCTTCTGGTACAGTGACACGGAAAATTGAAGATATAGGGTCCCTCCCTTTTAGATTGTAAGCCCTCATTGGCAGGGCCCTCCTTACTATCTTGTCTTGAATTGTATTGTGATTGTAATGTCTTCCTTATATTGTATAGTCCTGCGCAAACTGTCAGCGCTATATAAATCCTGTATTATAATAATAATAATAATAATAGGGTAACTTAATAGCTATGTAAACAGCATTACCAGAATGAGTTCAGGCAATAGCAGCCTCCATACTTTTCTTCAGAGAAGTTGATTTTTGGGGGTCTATATATAAGCAATTCTTGCAGTCATTGACCATGCTAATCTCTGAGAACAACGTTTCTGTGCGAATAGAAGCAAAACCAAGCATTCTTAGTGTATTCTCTTTTCAGGTTAAATGTAATGTAATAATGCATTATGTCCACTAGATGGAGGTAAGGAGCATAGGAAATAAGTATTTCATTCCTATACTCCTCACCTCCATCTAGTGGACATTATACAGTATTACATTACATTCACATACTCAGAACACTAACTTTGCCTCGTTCTCAGAGATTTGCAGGTTGAATGGCTCTTCAAATTGTTTGTAAATGGACCCCCCATATGTCTTTAAATGTCTTTTATTTTCCTATTCTTGTGAAAGCATAAAATGTTATTAAATCCTCATCTACGTAAACCATTTTGCAGTATACGGTCAGCAATACCTTAAAGAAGGCTTGATTCATCGTAATGTTGATTCATTGTAAAACAGTCACAGCTGAGCAAGTTTCTATTTATATAGAACCCGCGCAATTACATTAATTACTTCCTTTTGTAAATTGGCATGTTCTGATATTGTTTTTCTTTTTTGCTATCCTCAGATTATTCTTGTCAGCTCGTCAGTCTCTGAACAATGCCTTTTCACAAGCAGCGATGAAGGAACAACCTTTCAAAAACACTTGATTACCTTCTCTGTGGAGACCCTCATCTTTAATCCAAAGGAGGAGAACAAGCTGCTTGCGCTTACTAAAGATGCCAAGGTAATGTGCGTAGGTTTATTTTGTTTAAAGGAGAACTAAATTTAAAAACAAAAATGTATTCCAGCTTATTAGTCCTTAGATGTGGTGGCTGCATTGCTTTTTATTTTTCAGACTAAGAACACTTTCAGCAAGTACAGAAAAATAGCTGTTGATCTGGGCATAAATGTTGTGTCCTTGTCACTTTCTGTGAGCTGAACTGAACAATCACCTCCATGGCCACAGGTGTATACAACCAAGTACCAGGCATGCAGACGCTTCTACAAACATTTTTGAAAGAATGGGTCGCTCTCAGGAGCTCAGCGAATTAAAGCGTGGTACCGTGATAGGTTGCCACCTGTGCAATAAGTCCATCCGTGACATTTCCTTGCTACTAAATATTCCACGGTCAACTGTGAGTGGTATTATAACAAAGTGGAAGCAACTGGGAACAACAGCAACTCAGCCACAAAGTTGTAGGCCACGTAAAATGACAGAGCGGGGTCCGCACATGCTGAAGCGCACAGTGCGCAGAAGTCGCCAACTGCCTGCAGAGTCAATAGCTATAGGACTGCCACTGGACTCTAGAGAAGTAGAGACGTGTTCTCTGGAGTAACGAATCACATTTCTCTGTCTGGCAATCTGATGGACGTGTCTGGGTTTGGCGGTTGCCAGGAGAACGGTACTTCCTGACTGCATTGTGCCAAGTGTAAAGTTTGGTGGAGGGGGGATTATGGTGTGGGGTTGTTTTTCAGGGGTTGGGCTTGGCCCCTTAGTTCCAGTGAAGGGAACTCTTAAGGGTCAGCATGCCAAGACATTTTGGACAATTTCATGCTCCCAACTTTGTGGGAACAGTTTGGGGATTGCCCCTTCCTGCTTCAACATGACTGCGCACCAGTGCACAAAGCAAGGTCCATAAAGACATGGATGAGTGAGTTTGTGGTGGAGGAACTTGACTGGCCTGCACAGAGTCCTGACCTCTAGACATGTGCGATTCTTTTCGTTCTGAATCGAAATTCGGACGAAATTCGTAGATTTGAAGCATCCGAATTTCCAAAATATAACATATACGAAATCACCCGCAAGCATCCGAATCCGAAATGTCGAATTTGGAATGAATTTCGTCCAAATCCTGTGCATGCACTGTTAACATTTAAACGGATAAAAACAAATTGAGAGAATTAAGTAAAGACTAGATCACAGCAACCAGAAATGACAAATGTGCCAATTCTGCTACCCCCACCTCAAGTTGAATTTTCAGGAAATCGTCCGAATTCCGAATTCCGAAACTGAATCCGAATTCCGAATCCGACACGAATTCCGAATCAGATCCTAATACGAATCCGATTCCCAAAACGAAACACATATACACTGAGTGGCCAGTTTATTATGACCACCTGACTTTTGTAGGCAAATTAGCTATAATTTCGCGCTGAAGTTGCTAGAGGGCCAGACCATTATAAATAAGGAAACAGGTTGTTTACCACGACAGTAGAAGTGATTTTTTTTCTGAAGATATGGGTAAACAACGCGATTTAACAGCCTTTGAACGTGGGATGATTGTTGGCGCTCGGAGCCATAAAGCGAATATCAGCAAAACAGCAGAATTCGTTAAATGTTCAAGAGCAGCTCTTGTTAAAGTGTTTAAAGACTGGACTGTCAGCCGAAAATCTGGGTCTGAACGTGCGAATTGTGGCCGTCAGCGACTAGTCAATGTTAGGGCAGAACAGAGAGTGGCAAGACTGGTACAAGACAACAGAAGGGCAACAGTGCAGTGTCAGATTCCTCGCATCACCTTTCAACATCTTGTGGAGTCACGAGGCAGTCCAACAAAGTCATCTCGTGGAGTTAGCTTGTGGCCCAACGAAGTACTGATGGGGTGGTCATAATAATCTGGCCAGTGTAGGATCCGAATTCCAAAAACTAAATAAATGAAATCCGAAACTAAACGAAACGAAACAAATTTTTAGCCGCTGCACATGTCTACTGACCTCAACCTGATAGAACACCTTTCGGATGAATGAGAGCGGAGACTGCGAGCCTGGCCTTCTCGTCCAGCATCAGTACCTGACCTCACAAATGTGCTTCTGGAAGAATGGTCAAACATTCCCATAGACACATTCCTAAACCTTGTGAACGCCTTTCCAGAAGAGTTGAAGCTGTTATAGCGGCAGGGTGGGCCTACTAAATATTGAACCCTACAGACTAAGACTGGGATGCCATTAAAGTTCATGTGCATGTAAAGGCAGGCGCCCCAATACCTTTGGCAATATAGTGTGTGTGTATATATTTATTTTATTTATTTATTTTTGTTTTTTTGTTTGGGTTTAGATACAATTTAAGTTTGAATGTTCCTTTAAAGCTCAACTCCAGGATCATGCTCACCTATTACTCACAGTTCACCATATATAAACTTAATAATACCGCTGTAGTAACTTCATTATCTAATACTTTCTTTTGAGCTAAAACTGGAGTTTTCCACTACACAATATTAATGTTTTGTACAAGTGTATCTGTCCACCATTCTAAAACTGTGTAAAAGTACTACCTACGACCTGGTACCTCAAGGTGCCTGTCTAGAAAATCATGAGTGGAGGACAGTTTTTACAAATAGTAAACATGATATTGTAGTGTTTTAAGATACTATAAATGTTTAAAGCTTCTTAACATTTTACTGTTTTTTGGGACACAAACGATACTTTTATTTCAATGTCTTCATTTTCCTCTTTAGAAATGCGAGTTGTCTTCACTATTAAAGGCATTCACCCTATAACTGTGTAAACCATTCTTGTCTCTGCAGCTCTATGTCTCTGTAGATCTCGGGAAGAAATGGGATCTCCTGCAAGAACAAGTCACCAAGGACCATATATTCTGGTAGGTTTTAACAACTTTATATACAGAATATATAGCTGTGCTTAGTTTTCATGGTATGAGGGCATCTCAAAGTTTGTGTGGAAGCTGTTCCAGGCAGTTAGCAGAACCCTACTTAAACACATTATCTACTGAATTGATTTTATGGGTCTGTCTGAGTAAAATCATTTAGTTTCCTGCATATGCCATTTGAAACACTTAGCAATAATTCTAAATTCAGAAGGTTCGTTGAATTTACTATTAACAATTCATATAATCTGTTATAACCAGATTCAGTAGGTAAACTTGTACAATATTCCCATTGCACGCCTTACTGGAAATTCCCCGTAGTGGTTTCTGTGATGACCGATGTATGGCAAAGACAGTAGAACTCCATAAAGAAATGTGGTCTGCACACCGGAATAGAGTTAAATAATTGTCGCTTTTATTGCAGTACAATTTCACAATTAAGTGTAGAATGTTTCGGGCCAGGAAGGATCCCTTCATCAAGGCATGAGCACACTCTTGTTCCTTCTAATTGCTTAAAATATCTTTGTATATTGTAGCATGATTAGTACAGCAATAAAAACCTAATTGAAAGAAACAGTCAGCACAAAGTGTAGTGTAGTGTAGTGTATGCATATAATACCTTCCCCCTCTTTCTAGCAATCAACATGCAATTTAAATGTATTAATAAAAAAATTAGTTGTTCCAGAAATAATGTTTTGAGAACCAGCGATGTCTTCACTGGGTCTGTCTGCTGTTCTTTTCCCTTCAAGTTTGGTTGGAAACGCCGGCAGGCTCCTATAAGCATAACAGCATTTTTCCTCAGGATTTCAAAGTACACATCCCCTGAATCCCTTTTAGATGTATCTGCTTCTCCCTGCTGGCCACTGAGTGCGGCAGACTTTATCTGTGCAATCTGCTGATTAGTTATGGGTTGCAGTAACTAATCAGCGATGTTGAGACTTGTTCTTTAACATAAAGCTTGAGAATACATTACTAATTTCAGAGAAAGTTAATAGCTATAGGGGTCGGGGAAGAAGTGATTAATACATGATTATGATAATTCAAACAGGAAATGAAGGGGGGGGGAGGGGGGCAAGATAGCTGATGCATTGTCAAAGGGTTATATTGTGTAGATGAAAGTATACAGGGAATTGAGAGTAATCAGTTTCAACACTAGAGAGGACTTGGTACTAGCGTGGGAAAAAAAGTTAAAGCTGGACTTTAGCTTTAAACTCTATGGGCCAGATAAACTATACATGTTGCAGTACATCACACTGCACCATGTATATTTGCATGGCGCCCATGTGCATAGTGCCCCTAATTGACACAGGAGCCTCTGTTTATTGCACACAGATTTCACAGTAACAGAGCACACCCAGCACACTGTCACTGTACAGGAAGGGATACAGCATTCTATGGAAGCTCACTATATTCCTTCTTCTCTCCTCTACGATCATAAACTGATCGGTAGGGAGGGAGCAGGCATCAGAGCAGCACAGAGCTGTCTGCTTCCTCTTCCATTGTCAGTGTTGTCATTGAGAAAGAAAATGAGGGGAAATCTCCTCAACAGAGCCATAGACAGCAAGCAAATTTTATTTCAAAAGGACCTCCAAGTTAAAATGAAATGAACACTTCATGGATCCAACTAAAGCACTGCATCATTATGGGCATGTCAGGCAGTCATTTTCATCACCCCCTTTTTTTTATGGGACAACTCATCATAACCAGGAAACTCTTTGTTATTAAGCATTTGGTGACCTGGTCGTCTTGGCCGGGGACTCTCCAAATTCACAGTTTACATATCAAGCAGCAGGAGAGGAGCTCACAGACCCAACTGCAGCACTGGCTGCTCATAGAAGGATGCATGGACTTCTTCTTTAAAGTTCTGATGCACATTAGCTTCTCAATGCTCACCCAGGTCTTATCCTGTGCCCTGGTGTCTCTGTTTTTTAGGATGTAGACGGTACTGAGAGCCTGTAATAGGATCATTGTCAAATGGAGTGTACCTTTTACCTTTAAACAGTTTTTAGATTAGAATATCTTTGGAATATAACGATTCAATGCTGAGAGGATACATCATTAAAAAATAAGAATGATTAACCGTTGTGTTATAAACACTGTTGAGTGTGTCTGCGGGTGCTGCCATCTAGTATACAATTAATCATCTAAAAAGTTTAATAAAAAAAGCAGTTACTGTTGGCATTACTAATAAAGTGTTTCATTTTGCATACCTGCGCTGTATTGTGGACTGAGAATCCTGCTTGTCACCCATTACGTTTCCTCTGAAATTCACATAAAAAGGTTTTACGATGACAAAATGATACTAGCTGTTTATAAAAATCCATTTACAGTTTCTTGCAAGTTAAAAGTAAAATGACACATTTCACGTTCTGCCTTAATATCGACTCCCTACCCTTAAAGCATGCAGCCATAAATAACTTTATAATGCTTCTGCAAGAGTCAAATCTTTTTCATTGTGTGATTGTGATTTGTGATCGATGAGTTTTTCTCTCAATTAATAGGCAACAGATGGTACAGGCTCGAGAGGAAAAAGAGCCATTTGCTACATACAGAATTGCCATCAATTATCTGACGTTAGACAGGTCTTTTCAAGTTTTGTTATTTACTATCAGTGAAATGCAGGATAATGTGAGAGAAAATTGTGGTCTACCCTCTGTAGAATATTTAAATGTGTTTCTGGTTAAGTTACATGTAGATTGTTATGTGCAGAATTATTTAAAGGTTTTCCCGATTTAGCAAAAAACAAAACAAAACACACAATGATACAGTAGGCCTTTTTTGGGAACATCCAGCATACACATTCAAATTGATACGCAACCAGTGTTTCCATAATAGCACATTACCAGCATCATAGAGAGTTTCAGCTGCAGGAGCTGTGATGTAATACAGTAACCCTTGAACAGATAACAGAAACACTGGGCAAGTAGGATGTATCCTTTTTATGCATCTACTTTTATTGTCCAGTTTTGACTGAAGAGTACTTTAAGGCTGGGTTCACACCTGAGCGTTTTTCAGTGCTGATTCGAAACGCGCTGAAAAACGCCCTACGCCCAAACAATTACAGGAGCTTCTTTGGGGCGTATTTCAGCCCGTATCCATTGTATTGTGGCTCGGGGTTAACAAAGCGGTAAGCCCGAGCCACACTCGGGAATACAGCGTAGGTCTTACCTTGTCCGCGATCCCCACTGTGTCCTCCGGCCGCTGCCGTCTTCCAGGTTCCGTCCCTTGCGAGCGTCCGTGTTGCAGGAGGGTGGAACCGGCGGCAAGTTTGAAAGTAAAAAAAAAAAATAGAGAATATAAAGGAAAAAAAAATAAAAACAAGTGTCAAACGCACGTTTCACTGAGCTAAAAAACGCGTGAAAAACGAGCTAAAAAACGAGCTGAAAAAACGCGCCTATAGTACGCCCAGGTGTGAGCCCTGCCTGAAGTAAGTCAATCATGAAAGGAATGCAAGAGCTGTATTTGTCACATCCTTCTATCGCCTGGCCACTGACATCCTTAGCTGGCCATACACCTATAGATTATCTGCAAATTTTCTATGGCAAAAGTGCAACAGATTCCTCCGTCTACGCTAAAGTGTGTGGATGGAGGAATCTCCCGCTAGGCCAAGCTTCAGTATCTTGCTAGTTGGCTCTGCTGGCTCTCAAAATACCTGAACAATCTGATTGGATGCAGGCATTGTTCAGGTATTTTGAGAGCCAGCAGGACCGTCTAGCAAGATACTGAAGCTTGGCTCAGTGGGAGATTCCTCCATCCACACAGTTTAGCGTAGATGGAGGAATCTGTTGCACTTTTTCCATCCGGCCAGCTTTAGTTACTGACCTCCTAGTATACAGATTGGTAAGTCAGAGTAATGTTGGAACCACTTATCTTCATATTTGTTCCAGGTTAGTCATTCAAATTATTCAGTCAAGGGGGGAGGGGCATCATGACAGCCAAGGAAATAGCATATACTGAGAGGCACACTATATGGCCAAAGGTTTGTAGATTACTCTCCAAATGATTGACTTCAGGTGTTTTCAGTAAAGAGTACTGTCATTGGTACAACATACAATGTAATTTTAGACGATTGTGTGCTTCCAACCTTGTGGCAACAATTTGGGGAAGGCCCTTTTCTGTTCCAGCATGACTGTGCCCCTGCACACAAATTCAGCTCCATAAAGACATGATCTTATGACTGAGTAAGCACCATCATTGTAAATTACATTAAGTCTTTCTTATTTAGCTGTAATGCTAGTACCTTCCATTCAGTTAATAAATCTCCGATCAGCAGCAAGCACTGTGGACCCGTTTATTGTTTTCTGTACTTGAGGTAGCGTGACCAGGCAAGGTCCAGTAACTTTGGATTGCCTCTGGTACAGTGGATGGCACAGCTGGTCTCCCTGGTGGCAGCAAGTTTGAAATTAATGAAGACATGGTTTGGACAGTTTGGTGTGGAGGACCTCAAATGGCTTGCACAGAGCTGTGACCTCAATGCTCTTAAACACCCTTGGGAAGAACTGAAACACGGATTGCAAGCTAGGTCTTCTCATCCAATATCAGTGTCTGACCTCACAAATACTATTTTGACTGCATGGGCACAAATTCCCAGACACACCCCAAAATCTAGTACCTCACAAATGCTGTTTTGGCTGAAGGGACACACATTCTTACAGACACACCCCAAAATCTAGTACCTCACAAATGCTGTTTTGGCTGAAGGGGCACACATTCTTACAGACACACCCCAAAATCTAGTGGAAAGCCTTCCCAAAAGAGTAAAGGCTGTTATAGCTGCAAAGTGGGGCTCGCTGCACCTTAATATCCCTCGTTTTGGAATAGGATGCCCAACAAGCTCATATAAGTGTAATGTTCAGAAGTCCACAAACATTCATGGCAGGCAATGGTAATATTTCAGGGTTGATCATTGTTATTACTATAGGTAGTTAGTGACCCAGCTAATGATGGGTCATTGGGTTTATATAAAATCCCTGAAGTGAATCTTGTTGATCCAT